TATTGATATTTGAGTGCGCGCTCAAGCTTGATATGGACTTTTGAATGTGCACCCAAGCTTGACATTGATATTTGAGTGTGCGCCCATGCGCGCCCAAGCTTGATATTGATATTTGAGTGAGCGCCCATGTGCGCCCAAGCTTGATATTGACCTTTGAATGCCCGCCCAAGCTTGATATTGTTATCCGAGTGGCGCGCCCAAGCTTGATATTGTTATCCGAGTGGCGCGCCCAAGCTTGATATTGATATTTGAGTGCGCGCCCATGTGCGCCCAAGCTTGATATTGATATTTGAGTGTGCGCTCATGCGCGCCCATGCTTTGTACGACTATTTGAGGGCGCGCCCATGCGCGCCCAAGCTCGGTATTGCTATTTGAGTGGGCGCCCATGCGCGTCTAAGCTCGGTATTGTGATTTGAGTGCGCGCCCATGTGCACCCAGGCTCGAACTCACCATTTGAGTGTGCGCCCATGCACGCCCATGCTCGAAATTGCCATTTGATTGCGCGCCCATGCGCGACATCGCTACTTGAGTGCGCCCATGCGCTTCCATGCTCGACATTGCCTTTAGAGCGAGCGCCCTGTTAGTATGATCAAGTTGGATTGAGCTCTCATTGGATGGACTCTTGAGATCCGTTGATGGAATGATTTGGCAGCCTAGTCTCGTTGATTTTATTTCCTTGCTGATCAGTTGATGCGCTAGCACAACTCCGTGCAAATGATATCTTTCCTGCACGGGGAGCATTTGCAGTTCAGTCCTTGCACAAAAGACTTGGCACGGTCCAGTCCCAATACGTTCAGTACTTATGACTGGTCCCTGTGCACGAGATGTTGTGCTGATCAGTTCTCCTCGAGTTGCTGTTCAGCCAGGCCCCTTAGGCGGGCCCATTTATGAGATTGCTGCCTTTCAGCCAGGCCCCTTCAGGCGGGTCCATTTCTGAGATTGCTGCCTTTCAGCCAGGCCCCTTCAGGCGGGTCCATTTTTTAGATTGCTGCCTTCAGCCAGCCCCTTCAGGTGGGCCCATTTCTTGAGATTGCTGCTGCTCAGCCAGGCCCCTTCAGGCGGGCCCATTCCTTGAGATTGTTGCCGTTCAGCCAGGCCCCTTCAGGCGGGCCCATTCCTTGAGGTTGTTATTGTTCAGTTGAACCCACTCAGGTGGGCACTTACATCGAGTTGCTGACCACCATTCGGCCGGGACCAAACATTGGAGGGAACATCAACCCTCGCAGGGGTGTACCTATTGTTCAAGCTGGCCCGTCATCCTGAGACAACCCCTAATTGGGGCAAACTAGTTGAGAAGTTCTGCTACCGACATGTGGGGCATCAGAGCTTCGTCATCAGGGCCAATGAGTCCCCAACCTCACGACACACGCTGGTGATTACCGATTTTGTAAAGGGGGCAGGAAAGGATGGAGTGAAGGGTACCTCTTACGACAGGAATGCAGACTACAGATTCAGCAGGGAGAGCTATTGGAGGGACAACTGGCTGCATGTGGTGTTCCCTCGTGTACCATCAGCGCCTGGGGGTGTACTCTTCAACTTCGATGGGTGCAATCCTAAACCCCTCAGCGAGGCACGCAGCAAGGGGAAGAGATAGAAGGATGAGCGAGTCAGGAGAGAGATAGCCAGATCTGGGATTCCAATCACTACTTGCATGCAGCGATCAAAGATAGATGAGTCTGACCAAGACCCTTGTAGTGTGAGCGACGTTGATCTTGGCGACTACTTCGTCTGGGACACTCACAGAGACTGAGTTTGTTGGCAGTAGCTAAGCACAGGAGACCGGTAGGCAGCGACGGCGGAAGGCGACATTGAGGAGGATTGCATATCTTCTTGCACGATATTTGCTTGAGGGTGATTGATTTATGTATGTCAGCCGAACCTAGGGCCGAGACGATTAGTGGACCTCCCAGAGGGGAAGGCCCTGTCCCATACCTTGGGATGACTACCATTTGGTTGGAACCAATTTTGCTATGAAGGCTTTTCGAAAGCCTCTCTACGGAGACCGTTTCCTTGAGGTTTCGTACGTCTACATTGACCGGAGGGGGCGGATCAAGATATTGATCAGAGCTACAGGCGTTATTACCCTTGTAGAGGAGCTCTATCTCAGGAGTGTTGCAGATGAGGAGATGGCTAGGTGCATGGCGTACATCAGCAAGATCGATCCCGCAACACCCATGGATATCAGCTATGTGGTCCCAGAGTCAATAGCTACCAAGGTTCCCAATGGCGAGGGGGATCAGCGCGTGCCGGACATGGAGTCTCGGACAGTCAAGCCCACTCACGAGGGGCTACCGCTTATCATTATTGATTGAGACTCTCCTTTAGTCACTATGATGTACCATGACATTATTATGATTTATTAGTGACTGCAGTCCTCCAATGGCTGCTCCCTGCATTCCTTGTGTACTACTCTTCAATCTCGTGTTTTGGTCATGCTCTTGCAGAGTCTGGTTTCTGGTCTTTTCGTCCTCTGAGTGCCATTTGTTTTTATGATGCATGTCCCGTAATGTATGGAATGTTTTATGCATGAGATGATATGCTATTTACCACTCCTCATCATATAGGTTACACTCAAGGCTACTTAAAGGATTCCTGGATAATAGGGAAAACCGAACGCCTCACTCGTAGCCGTGTCGCCGCTGGCAGGAGGGATAACCCTGAC